ACTGTAGAGTACTCATTTTTTTAATTTATTTTTTATTGTTGCAAAATGTCATTTTAGGATGGAGTACAAAATGTGTTAACGACATATTATTCTGTAACGAAAATGAGATAGCAGCTTTTGTTACAGTCTATGATCTGAATTTAAAATTTAACGTATCTCATGTCAAACCGGCTCAATCCACGTCCAATTTTGTAATCTTTCTATAAAAAAAGTAAGTTGATTGAAGAGGGAATAAATTCAATTACTGTAACCAAAATCCCTTATAAATGATTATAGATAGGTTTTTTTTCCCTTAAATGTTGAATTTTATCGAAATGCGATAAATCGCTGAACGAACAAACATTAAAAAAAGCAACTTTGTCTGTGACCACTTTGAGAGAAACATCAAAACGCAATTAGCCTTATTCTTATAACAAACCTCCCACAAACGTAAAAAAATCTGTGTAAAAAAAAAAACACCTAAAACAACAAACAAAAAACGGTTCCGTTAAAAGGTTCTTTCGCCGCGGATACACGATGAGCCGAAATTTTGCTAGAGAGATATCATTAAAGAAATAATTATAATAATGATTAACGGCAGGTTTCAATATTCAATCTGCAGATAGTTCTGGTTACTAACGATAGGTATTTGACATTAGGTCCATAATATTTACGTCAAAATTCTATCTCCAGTAATCAAAACTGTCTGAAGATAGATGAAGATATATATGATAGAAGAAGATATTGAAATCGGCCGTAGGAGTAATAGTTTAGAGTAATAGTATTGATCCCGCTTAGCTTAGTTGGTGAAGCGTCTGGGCATGAAACCAGAAGACTCTGGATCGAATCCCGCAGCTCTGAAAGTTTTTTTTTTCATATATCTACAAAAAAAATACATTTTGAGTATAATGATTAACTAAGATACTAGTTTTTGAAATTATTTTAAAAGCAAACCCAGGCTCTAATCACAAATATACTCCATGATTGGTATAGTTAATCTCCTTTAAACGGATATGTTACAAATAACAGATTCGAACGTAAGACAGTAGTTGTTGCGACAAAGATATTCTAAATACAGAGACATTCATTGTTTTTTGCGATTAGTCATCGAAACCGCATAAGCACTGTGTATATGTAACCATAGGTACAGCATGCGTTCAAATTACTCATATTTACATCGTACAATAAATACCAATAGGAGTATTCAATAAAATTACACAAAAAATTTTCTTCAAAGTTTTAATATAAATTTTTAAGGATAACAAAGGTGCCTTTAATTTAACTTTGTAATACCCTTATAATACTTTTAATGAGCATCGCACTCTCCCCCCATAATAATGGGTGCTGCAAAGCATCCCTAATGCCAGAATTAAAAAGTTAAATTAAAGGCCATGGAGTGCGGTAAAAGGTTTTAAATAAAATATTTATTTGTATATCAGTAGGTACTTATTTTATGTAGTAGTTGTCCCACATTTTAGTCACACGATGTAATCGAATTCGGCTCATGCATTTATGTATATCGATATAATAAAATACACGTACTATGTAATACTAATAATAATATGAATTTAAGGGGTCAGAAGAACTAGACTAAGCGAAGAACGAAACTTCAGATACGTAATGCAATCAGCATTACGTATCTGAAGTTTCCCTTAACAGACAGGTTTCAAGTAGAGGCGAAATTGTTCTTTCATGTTCTTGTAACTGGAACAGATGTATCTACTAAAACTTGTAAGAAAAAGAGAGTCCTAGATATAAATGTACATACGTACATATATGTGATTTAATCACAATTTGAAAAACAACAATTTAAAACTTTTCTCCAAAACAAACAAACGAAACTTTTCTCCTTAATATATACATAACTTTATAAAGAAGCCTTTACGGGAAAGAGCGTTATATTAAGATAAATGATATCTCGTTGCTAAACAAACTCGATTGCATGAAAATCTCCGGGAAAAGGTTCGACGAGATTAAACTGTAATTGAACACGTTAAACTCCCAGGAGAGAGATCGGAGCGGAAAAGTCCGCGTAGCCTCGTAGACCTACGCCAGTTGCATAGGCCGTCGTGGCTCGTATCGATCGTAGCGGAGTCTCCACGGCTACGTGTCTACGGCGGTAGCGTTCGTGCAGGCAATTGAGGCTTCAATCTCGCTTGGCGGCCCTCCGTATTTCTCCATGCTGTTTCGCAATAGGATATTACGTTGAAGTGCCGGAAGGCATACGTAAACACAGGAATTAAACTGGAAAAATATAACTTTTCGTTCATATTTCAAACGTTCATAGTATTCAGTCATCATAATTTATTATAATAAATAATTGAAATTAGATCTATTTTATTTTAATTTTCAAGTGTTATTTGAAAAATTGCATTGCAATAGATCATTTTAATTATCTTTAATGATTTGACTGTAAATTTTTCACTACAAATGTTTATACCATAGCTTACGTAAGGAAAATTATTTAAAAGCTTTTTTATATGTGAAGATGGTAAGCGAGCTAGATATTCGCCTGATGTTAAGTGATAACCGCTGCCTATTCACATTTGAAGTACCCGTAGGGTTGAAGATGCGTTGCTACCTTATAATAAAGTGGGCCCGGCTACCTCACTCACCAGACGCAACAAAACACTCAAAGTAGAGGTATGAAATGAAAAGTTTCTCAATCTCAATTGAATTAAGTAAATTTAATAAACATAACCAGTAATAAAATTTTGATAAATATAAACGAGAGTTAAATTAGTGTTCAAGTTAAAGGATTTTAATAGAGCAGGGACTGAAAGTAATAAGTTTAAACTTTTAAAACAATAACTAAACTCAAGATTGTAAAAACAAATAATTGGTAGTAAAATAATTTACATCAGTGAAATTTTGTTCTCTCGCATCTAAGAACATACTTGTTGTGAGGTCCTTTCGAGTACATTTCTTGTTTACTGGCCAATTCGACGCATCATTAACGCCGACGAATTGGATTTCTCTTCAGATTTACGAGTTATAAAAGGCATCATAAAGGTACGTCATTACATAACAATACAATAATACTTCTCGTTAGAACCTGTTTACGTTTAACCATGTGCAAGTTGGCTGTATTGTATTCATGAAGTATTTTTTGTAATTTTTTTTAGTTCGCATACAAAAATACAGATTCATGTCGTTTTGAGCGACAACGACGAATTTTTAAGACCAGGAGATTAACTGATTGCAACAAGTCAAACACCGGTTTGCATTAGAAAAGTCACTAAAGAATGCAATCAATCTTAAAAACTGTCGTAAATAAATTTTGCCCAAAATAATTATGACGAAACATTTGAAAGCTTTGACAGAGTGACAGGTGCTGTAATAACATCATTCACAATTGTGACACAATGGTTTCTACATTCCGAAATAATAAACAGCTGGTGATATTTTTGTGCGACTAGTGGATAGGAGAGTTGCAAGAATTCCTCCTTTACTTTTCAACTTTATACTCAGCACAACTTTTGTTGTCGACTTTCCGCAGTAGCAAGTGATTTGACTCAAACAAGCATGAATAGGCTTTTATTATGCTAATACGACTACTGTCTTAGGCTGCATCGTCACTTCCATCAGGTGTGAAAGTGGCCTTATAGCACAGGCCACTAGTTTTTATTATGTGAAAGGTTAAGTGATTACCGCTGCCCATGGACATCACAACACTAGAAGGATTACGGAGGCATTGGCAACTATTAAAAAACCCGATTAACCCATTCATCCGACAAACCGCCAGGGTGTAATACTTTCACCTCACACCGGTCTTTTTTGGGGCCGTGGTACTTCCCCGGACTTCCCCTGCCCATTCGTGCACCAGAAGCTTCAACGTTTACTTTCACAGTAAAAAGTTTAACAGTTTCCTCTACCTCCTCTTCTCCTACGGCCGGTTTTAACAGCAATAGGTATTCGACGTTTGCCCCTTAATATTTACGTCAAAATTCTATCTCCAGTAACCAAATCTATTTGTGGATTGAATATTGTAACTGACTGTAAGGGGATAAATAAACGATCACATATTCGATCTAGTGGCTGACTCATTTATATCGAAGTGTACTTACTATACCGAACGCAGTGGAGTGCCGGGTCGTTTTTATTCTCGTCGTCGACCGGAATCACTAAACACGTGGGCGCGTGGCTGTAGGGCCCCGTGCCAGAGGGCGGCCATTAATCATTCCCCTGGTACCTTAATGTCGCCGCACTGGGTATTTCCACACGTGACGTCCCTGACCGACTTCGGACCCCGGTAATGATACGCGAGAACGGTCCACTCCATTTTTTATCCTGAAACTACTTCATTAGATCACAATTGCCCATGTCACGCTTAACCATAGTTTGATCCTTTGAAACGTACATTTTAATTGAGAAAAAAACCAAACTGGCTTCATTTGTCTCATTCACTTTACATTTTCTATTTGATTTTGAGCAATTCCCTCACGTACTTTCGCTGACCAAAGTCCAATATCAACAGCAAACTACTACCAGCGTTTGAATGAGCTTGACTGATTATCAAGCAGTAATGTGTAGTGTGTGGTTCGAATCAACAATTAAAATTTAAATTGAACGCCATAAAATCTGTATAAAGTTTCATTGTAATTTATTAATATTACATGATGTAATATTGTGGTAACTGTAAGAAATAAAGCATTCATACTTGAAAGAATCGCAGGGTATGAAGTAGGTAAATAGTGTCATCTGGTGACATCATTTCATCCGCTGAAACGTCCACTTCGCTAGGTAATAAAACCGCGAGCCAAGCTTTATACAAACGTAATGCTAGTAGACACAACAAGTGCATTGTTAATTGATATAAAAATCGATTCTATCGCTGTACACTTCTTGGTGCTAAGAAGCAAAAAGGAGACTCTTCTTGAAAACAATTTACGAAGACGTCCCGAATATTTCATTGTAGTGCAATCATACAACTTTACAGACATAAATATAAGGATTCGGAAAAACAATCGTATAATTATCGCACGCACCTATCTTATCTCTTAAATGCCAACAACAATAAAATGCGCAAAGAGCATTGTAAAGACAAACGCGAAAAAGTACGCAAGCGTAACATTGTTTGCGCCAGCGGAGGGAAAGACTGTTTAATAATTCACGAGCTTTCATCGTTTCCGCTTTGCATTCATACGCGTGATGTATTACGGGCATCTTCAGCCCGCTTGAGATATGTGCGCAATATCCCCTTAAAGGACGCCGTAATCATATCCGACATGATTCCATTTAGCTTGCTCTCGTTTCAACTCTAAAGTGTTACCGGTTATCAGTATATTATGCTTTTTCAGGCTGCGGTGTATATGACGTAGATCAGCGAGTTGAAACAGTGAAGTGACAGCCTATATGCGTCCCACTGCTGGGCAAAGGCCTCCTCTGTTCAGGGGACATTAGGGCATAATCGACCACTCGACCCCACTGCGGAATGGCGGACTTCACATAAGTTCGAAATCTTTTTTTTTTATTATTATTTTGAAAATACGCAAGTTTCCCCACGATGTTTTCGCCGCTGAGCACTCGATAAGTTATCACTTAAAATTAGCATTTTATTGGTGCTCGAACTCATGGTGCTCGAGTACATTGAATTAAAGGCGAGCGCCAGGACACTGAGCTATCACGAGCTATCAGCGAGCTTATTTAGTGCAAAATTGCATTGTGCTTTCTTGTTATCTGCCAATTAACGTGTCACTAAGTCGATACTATACATTAGAGACACCTTAACATACAAATATTATTTGCGCGGATTCCGTCAATGAAACGTATATACAGCCGTACACGAAGCGCAAATATAAAAAATAATTTGGATAGTGTGTCCATCTCAGATTTGTAATCGACGTAGCTTGATATTTTCCATTTATTTAGCTATACGTACCTTTGTCCCGTCACGTCATACTATCTCAAAATTTCAATTAATTTCACAACAAACTGTCCACCGGAGGGTATAAAGCATTTCTCACTAAAATGTGTTATTAATTAATGTTTAAAACAAGTTGGAATTGAATGGGCCAACGCTATTTAACGAGGTATAAATAAACAGTAGCACCATTTTAAAGTTTGTATAATGTCATGAAATGGTTTCCATAAAAGTTCAGTAATTGTATTTAATGAAACTAATCGTCGCTTAGTGGTAGTTGCATCGTAGTGGGAGTTACACACACTACAATGCATAAATAATTATGCATTATATTGTGTGTAATGTTTTCTTATTCATTTAATGCATTTTGAAAAAATGTCAGTATTGTGCACTCCTTCTATATTTAAAGTATAAGTGTGGGGAAAATTCGTACCAATCCGTCCGCGCAATTTTCGTAAAAAGAGGTACAAAGTTTTTGCTTCACAATTTTAATATTAATTACACTTTATAATATTAGTAAGAATTTAATACCAAATAACTATTCATGTATTATCCATTAATCTTATGAAAAATGCAGTTTGTATTTCAAGTTAAACAAGAATTAAAAAATGAAAGGTATTTCTCGTCATAAAATATGTAAATATTATATTATATTTAATAGACAGTCGGTTTTCTGTAAACATTGAGATTCGATAAAGGGTAAATTTTAATTATAGATAACCAAAACTCCTTGCCTATGAAATATTTTTACTCCATTAATCCTTAATTTAAAAGGAAATGCGTTGATTTGTGTAAAAGTTGTTACGCAACTCGTTTAGCAATTAGTTAAACTGCTCTAACGTTTGTTTAGTTAATTGCTTAGCATTTATTTTGTCAACAACATTTCATTTAAATGTCTTCTATACATGACATAGAACAAGGACTAAATTAAAGCTTATTTCTAAAGTCGTTATTTATACGAAGCAAAATTTAAAAAATATAATAATTAGGGCCTTTGAAACAAAATTCTGATTTATAATTTTTGATTCTTTCATACTACTACTATTGTACTATTAACTTATAGTGTACAGTAACCAACACGAACGTTTACCACATGTCTGTAAACTGGGCACATTTACCATTCAGTATTAACTACAACGCTAACTTTACCGTTAAAACTATATCACTGCATAGGTACTAGTTACATTCTTCATACTCACACGCGTATATTATGATTTACGACGAAGATTATGTCGCCATATTTCACCTTGTTTTATTTAACTTTTCGCCCGGCTTACTTTGGCCGTAAGGCGACAGGTAGGAGAAATATTGTCACGTAATTGCAGATACTGTGTGGCGGAAAATATTTTTGCTCGATATTTATTGGTCCCCTATTCGGTGGGATGGGATATTAAATGATATTCTCAATATTGCGATTAATTTCTTTCTCTTAAGACCTCTACACGATAGGGATCCATCTAAAAGGGCCAAACGAATTATCTGCAACTAGGCCAATAGTGAAAATAGTTCACACTCCTTCGGCAGTGGCGTGAAATTAATATGTGTATATTAATAATATAGCAATACTAACAATACTAAGTATAATATATACTATTAATAAAATAAAAATATATTTCACGTTCTCATACAAGTTCCCATGTATAGCAAAGATATTCGAAATAAATAAGGTGTGTTAATTATGTTACATTCTATGTAACTGCTACTAATGGGATTGTGCAATGATTAACGGCCGGTTTCAATATATTATCTTCAGATAGATTTGGTTACTGGAGATAGAATTTTGACTTTTAGGAGCTAATGTCAAATACTTATGCTAGTAATTTAGCTTATCGTTGCGAATTCAGGTTCAATTTCTGCATTGGTTTAAGTGCTTACATTGTAACATTTAAAATATGCTCGCCAATTTTCTTCGCATACTATTGATGACTGCGTCGGAGTCGAGATCAGGTTTTGCTCGAGTATATTGAATTGAAATCAATTTCCCGGACACTGATCTAGTCGCAGCTCAGTGTCCGAACTCTTAGTTTCTATAGCGAACGTAAACATTTTGGTAATGATAAAATCTGTCCTAGAGAGGTATACATCTAAAAATGCTAATCAAAGTACCATAATGAACATCCGTACTATCTGCCTTCTTACGGGTTTGTTTATTATCAACCGACTTCAAAAGGTTTCGTCTGTATTTTTCGTATTTTTCTGTATTTTTTTTCTGTATTTCGTCTGTATTTTTCGTCTGTATAATTCGACTGTATTTTTTTTAATGTTTGTTTTGAACTTTCGACTGGGTGGATCGAATTTGATAATTCTTTATTTATTTGAAAGCTGGCACTTCCCATGTGGTCCCATATCACATTCATTGGTATTGATTGGATCTTGGGCTCCGGAGATACTTAGATAACCCCTAAAAATTATTTATAAAATGAATACTGAGCGAAATTTGAGGTCGGTTTTGTTTTTCGTTATAAAAAAAAAAAAACTTGTAAGCGAACATGTCCGCACTGTGTAACTTGTGAACTATTTTTGTTTCAGGGTGAAAAGGATAACGGGAAGAACTGCATACTATCGTGCGAAAAGAGAAAAGCCGATGACGCAGACATCAACAAGGACTTGAAAAAGGTTTGTTCGTCCAAAAGATTCCTTAATAATTTAAAATTGATACACATAAGTTAGGTTCTATAAATCATTTCTATTATAACAAAAACAGAAGTGTGTAAAATAGGCAGCAAACAGTAAGATCTTAAAACTAAAAAGATGTAACTTTAGAATTATAATGGTTCATATGGAAAAGTAGGAGGTGACGACCCCCCATTCGAAAATGTCCGGAAGACGGCGCACTCTACTCAGGATCTTGCTGTGTGGCAGTCTATTGGGGAGGTCTATTAGGAAGGTCTATTGGGGAGAGAGGGTTCAGCTGTGGACTCGGAAATGACTGAATATTTATATTTTCAACCTTTATCGCTTGTACTACGGCCTATATTACTTTATTTGGACGACGAATAAAGTGATAACGTTAACCGCAAAACTAACCGACCTTTCTGTTAATTATATTAGGCAATTTGCAAATTGGCGTGGGCTGTCATCATCCGAACACAGTTTTCGATTGCTTTTATGGGCGCCCAGAGAAATTAGACATTAAAATTGGCAATATCAAAATGGTAATACGCTGGTAACTATTGTGTTAATAACTTCTAACAAGGTACATCTAACTTCTCCCTTTGGACTAACTTTTTATTTCTCAATTTATTAACGGATATTTTACTACTACAGGACTTGGACTAAAAAAAAACAGAAAAATAATTAAGTGGGCTCACATACAAGAGACATAATTTCCCTCAAAGCTGCCCCGACGCTCTAGATTTAATATTTTCTCGAACTTTATTAACGGATATTTTACTACTACAGGACTTGGACTAAAAAAAAAACAGAAAAATAATTAAGTGGGCTCACATACAAGAGACATAATTTTTATAGATAATAGTACGGAATCCTTCGTGCGTAAGCCGACTGGCAGATTTTTAACCTTTACAAGATCATTTATTCAAGGCAGTATTAACAATAAGTAATAACAATAATAATAATTCAGGATAACCTACAAGTGAAAATAGTTTGATCCCGAGGAGGTAGGTAGTATCATCTCCAATATTCGAGCCGCATTAATATCCCGTAAATTGATCTCATTTGATGGAATTATGAAAATCTCGAACACTTGGTTAAAACAAAGTCTAATTTAATTTTTATTCTAATATGTTCGAGAAGTAGATTTCATAAATAATTGCCAAACCGAAGCTTGTTAAGTTTTATGTTTGACGAGAACACAGTAATAAAACAAGTTCATTTTAGCGAGACGCAAAAGAAATAGGAGAGGTATAGGAGAGGTAAATTCTTGTTTATATCAGAGTCGTACATCATCCACTCCGCTGTACTTAGCGTTGCGTAATCGCCTGTTTGCTGTACGTCGTGTGCATTGCAGTTTCTCTGCGCCGCGACCTGCTTAGTATTCATTGTTAACGCGACATGGAACGTGTGTAGCGTTTAAATATCGCTTTGACGGGACCACCATCGTGATGCGGTTGAGTAACTGCGAAATTTAGTCCCGAATCGCTTAGTTAAAGCCACCGCCTAAAGGTTTTTAATGTACACTGTAAGAATTAAAACCGTATGAAATTATATTGAAGTGAAAAAAGTAAAATGAATTTTATTGCGTTTAATTTATTTGTAGCTACTTAAGTTTTACGGCCCCAATTATCCGGGCTTTCAGAGGATATTCAAATTTATTACTCTAATGATACCTTTTTTCGCGTAAGAATGCTGAACCAATTTAATTTGGGAACAAACGAACAACAACCTTTTATGAAAGGCTGACAATGTTTTTGCGACTTTGCTAGTAATACGGTTTTTTTGACGGCAAAGGTAGCTAAAACTTTACCGCATCCACGATAAAACAAAATTAAAGAACTGATAAAGTGTTATAATTAGAAAAAATGCATGAAAAGTTTTTCGCCGAGCACAAGTCTTCCGGAATTGCACCCTATAACCACTAACCTAAACGGCTGAATGTCATGCCGACAACAATCTCGAAGTATTTTTCTCCACTGTTTTTTCGCATTTTAAGCAATGCCTCTATTATATCCTTTACAGCACACAAACAATTTGAAATTATGTTTTACAACAGCAATTTGAAGCTTTGCCGTTGAGATTAAATATAACATTAAATTTGGGTTCGATTTCAATTTTAAATATTTCGTCTCAAGTGCAGGGATTAGCGCTATAAAAAACCTCTTTTACCGGTGTTTGCCAATTCATTTATAAAGGCATGTAAACGAAGTATTACAAACTATTGTAATAATCCGGTCGACGATAGTTCCGATAATTATCCAATTTCGCGGTCGCGATTACCACTTTCTCCACGACACCGAAGCGACCCAGTTATGGCTTTCGTTATCATTAATGTCATTCCGTGACTTTAAATAATTAAACGGGTTTAATTGCGCTGAAAAAGCGACTCCGGCGGGGCGCACGGTCTAGTTTAAAGGGAAACCGTTCGTTGCTATCGGCAATGCTACACTGTGAGTATTTCACCGTAGACACGTGTCAGACTACGGCAAAACTATTTGTGATTTATAAGTGACTCCCATTGCCGGTAGACACGCGAGCTCGCCGCCTTTGAATACGCAGGATGGGTGGCCTAACCCACGGTAGTAAATTTTCCAGTGTAACTTAACTAATTACCTTGTCTCACTTATAGCACGGGACTCGGTTACGATTTTAACGAGCTCGCTGTAAAAGCGCTAACACTTCACTTAATCAGATATAAAAGAGTCCTATTTTCGTATGCGGTTTCAGAATTAATAGAGATCAACATACACAATAAGAGTACCTGGAGGACCGAGCCTTGATCGTTTTTTTTTTTTTTTGGTAAATCATGTATTTTGGAAATTACATTTAGATACAAATTATCTAAAAATTATATACTGAGTAATGGAATATGCATGATATTTTTCGATCTTACCGACGTAATAATAAGAAAATATATAAATAATATGAACTGGTGTTTTTCACAAAAGAAAGAACTTTAAAAAAAGGAAAAAAAATTAAAACCATTTGGATCGACAAAAAAATAAAAAATAAAGAAAGCAATGATCTGGAATCGAAAAAATAAGTTTGTAAATGATGGTGTCACGAACCACGGCCTTCTGTTTTGTGGCCGTCCGATTACCGACCGAGCTATTATAACATTTTTTTTTGGTGAAATTTACGAATGATATTTTTCATTCTATGAAAACTGGGATAAAACGACATTTTGTAAAAATGAAACAGCCAGATCGATTTTTCGCCCCCGAATCTACGCACATACTAAATTTCATGAAAACCGCTGGAGCCGTTTTCGAGCGAGATTCCGATTTAAAGTTATAAGATACTGAACAAAAAGAAGTGGAGATCCTTGTCATACGAGTACAGCAAGATCAAGATAAAACACAAAAAATAGGATGTTGACGTAAAATAATGGACCGTATAATTTAATTCCATTGTCACTTAATAAACTTCTTTGTTCGTCGCTGGTATGAAAAAACAAAACAAATCTTTCTCTAATAAGTGACTGGATAAATACTTTTCTGAAAAGTGACTTGATAAAATGTACGATCTTTTAAAGGTACTTTTAAGAAGACCCTAAGGTGGTATGCAACGCAAGTTAAATTCGTGTAAAATGCAAAGTATAGGTGTTGGTAATGGCTTCGATCACGCGACCACGTCGTCTAGTGGTCTGAGTGATCAATGATACTGACACTAGACAAATTGTAAACTTAGGTATCGTAACAGTGTTTAAACTGTATCACTACATAGTATAAAACAAAGTCGTCCCCCTGTCTGTCTATCGCTATTTATGCTTAGATCTTTAAAACTACGCAACGGATCTTGATGCGGATTTTTTTTAATACAGTGTGATTCAAGAGTAAGGTTTATATTATGTATAATATTGCACCCGTGCGAAGCCGGGACGGGTCGCTAGTTCTCCCATAAATAATAATTTATAGTACGCTGCTCTAGCCCAACTGCTCTCTTTTGCGTATCATGCATTTATTCTTGAAATATTTAAATAAAAAAATATATGATGATACTACTTTCTTAATAGAGAATATTGCGAAAATAAAAACATAAAGTACCCGCTTCTAGAGAGGATGAAATCTAAAGGTTTCGCGATGGCTTCTTGAAGCGTCGAGGTCGTTTCATTTTCATTATCTCCGCAAATGGTTCGTAGGTCGCCGTAAATTTACGATGAGGAGAAGCGCACTTCGCCCTAATTTAAATACATTACCCGTTTCAAAAGAATCGCGTCGAAAACTTTGTGCTCTTGAAGTTAGTCTAGAATGTAGTGTACATTTAATGAACTAGTTCGATCGAGTGCTGTACCTACATCGTAACTTTTGCGTAGTCCGGCCTTATATGTGCTTATTGTAGAGTATATTATACTAGCTGCTGCCCGCGACTGCGTCTGCGTAGAATAGGCTGAAGGCGTAACATTCAGACAGAAAGACATACATAAAATATGTATATAAATTATAGCCTATGTCTTATTCTGATGTATAAGCTATATTATTGTAAAGTTTCATTAAAATTCATTCAGTAGTATTTGCGTAAAAGAGTAACAAACAAACTTTCGCGTTTATACTATTAGTAAGGATAATCAAGTTTTGGAATCAGTTGTCACCAGCGGTATTTCCGGACCGAAGATAGGATTTGGTACTGCAAGAAAAGAGCCTATTCCTTCCCCAAAGGCCGGCAACGCATTTGTAAATCCTCTGGTTTTACGAGTGTCGCGTCTCCTTTTCTACAAAAAAAAACGAACATGTAATATGTCCGAAGAAACGGTGCTTTTACAACGGTGCTTTGAAATATCTATTTATCTAGTAGTTGTTAAAATTTTGTTAAGTTTAGTAGTTGTGTAAATTTTGTTTGATAAATAGATAGATATCTATTATTCTAGTATCTTTTCGTGTGTTAAATGCATATGAATCTCCTACAATACTTCTTTGGAACAGCAAAGGAGTTTAACAACAGTTTAATCTAAACTTAATTCACGTACATTCACGATAAGTTACGTAATAAGACAAGGAGGCGCACGTCTTAGAAACACATCCCTTTGTTTGATGTGAATTAGTACGGCCCTTTATGAGAGTTGCGGTATAGTTGTTTTCAGTTTCCATTAACAATATTCCACGTTAGAACGAATATGATTTCATACATGTATATTTATTCTACTTCCGAGAACCTAATTATTTTTTTCCATCTTAATTTTTTCCTTTATATCATTTTCCATCAAACGCATTTGAAATTTAGGCAAAACTTAACTTTCAAATGCATTCTTAGTTCTCTTGCAAATACTCATAATATGTATAAATGACACTCGATTATTATTTTAAACGTTCTGTTATATTAAACGATTCTCTCTTTTCTAACTTTTATCCGCGGTTGGGCAGAATTGTTTCAGTATTTCCATTTTTAATGCTATAAACCTTAAGCGGTAGAAGGTAGGTGGGTTTACAATTTTACTCCTGATGATGAAATTTCCTTTTCGTCATCTGATTTTATCGGCCAGTTTGAAGATACTGGAATAACTATGGTGGAACCGCGCAACAGTGTTCACTGCTTACAAAATTGCTTACTTAAAATTTCAAGCTTCACGTTTACCATTAATAACTTTTTATTACGATATAATTGTGTGTGCGCAAAAACATTTTTACGAACATATTCCCCAAGTGTAAGATAATAATTCCATTCATAAAAGTAGATTACGGGATTATGACACTTCGAAGGGTAAGACGTCATATACGTTGATAATAAAACGCTCGTAACACCCTGTAGACTGTTTCGTTTAAAAAAAAACTTTTCTCATTTCGCCAGCGGGTGGGCATTTCCGCAGAGCAAACTTTTTATAAACGATTCTAGAGCTTAATTTCCACGAATATTCTGTCAATTCAATATTTTTTGAGGATTATTTCGCTCTGAAAGCACATTTTGTTTAACGAGAATCTTTTAAGTTTTTTTTTTTTAAGAAAAAGTCCATCACTCCGACTCTGCGGCCTTGTTCTAAAAGATTGGAAAGATACATTTTAGCGAAATGCGCGAAAGAGTACAGGTGTTTATTTTTTCGTTTTTTTCTTAAATTAAGGCTGCAATACCTAAGTACATTAGAATGGACTTTGTAAACTTAATATTTTCTCTTTAATAAGTCAGTTATTGTTGATGACTCGGTGGCACCGTTAAGATAGTCTAAGATATTGGCTTCGTCGTCGGGGATGTTGGGTTCGATTCCCACACGGGACAAGTATTTGTGTGACCCACAGATAATTGTTCCGGGTCTGGGTGTTTGTCTGGTGTTGACGTCAGGCAGGCGGCCCGGTCGTAAAAAACATAGTCAAAACCGTTCACAGCATGATTCATATGTCGATGACCCCATCTAGGTGGGATTAGAGCAGGAGTTCGATGAGTATAAAAGTTATTGTAATGAATTGACCAAACGAATATTTTCTCTTTAGTTTAGCATGTATTGCACCGATACGATACCAAATCAAAACCATTGCCTAATCTGAAATTGATTCATTTTATTTATTTATGGTGGTGTAAAGTAGATAAGATTTTTTTTTTATTTATTTTATGTGAAAAGTTGCCAAACGAGCAGTCGGTTCACCTGATGTTAAGTGAATACCGCCGCCCATCGACATCTGCCACACCCGAGGGTTACAGATGCGTTGACAACCTTTTGAAAATTGGGCTCCGGCTACCTCACTCACCAGACGAAACGCGAAAGTATTTGTCATACTTCCACTTTACGCTGGTCTTCTGTGAGGTCGTGGTACTTACCCGGACGGGCCTGCCCTTTCGTGCAACAGCCTGTTGTTGCGTGGCCCTACCATACTCGATAAAATAGTACCCCTATCGACCCATATGGATAAAAAATATCTTATTTATTCCAGTCCACTTAAGACGTTACATTTATAATAATTCACGTCAAAATTATCTAAGTTGCTTTTTTTTTCAGGCAAAATTAGAAACCAAAGCACTGAAAGCCAAAAGGCCGGGTTTCACAGACGACCGTTACAACGAGACATCCTACTACATTGAGAATGGTATGTTCTTGTTATTTAATGTCACTATTCTTATATACACTTTGGGGCTCATATACAAAATCTCAAAATTAAACACTGGTTGTTGCAAACATTGTAGGTACATTACGAGTACATTAGAATAAGAAAGAGTGTACAAGCTTCAGTAGTACACCAGATATGATACTCGTCAATTAGACCAATATGTTTTTGAATGATAGAAAATGCCTTAAAAGTAACAGCTTATACCCACTGCTGGGCAAAGGCCTCCTCTATACAGAGGGTATCAGGGCATAGTCCACCACGCGGCCCCACTGCGGATTGGCGGACTTCACACATCTTCGAAATATATATATTTTTTTTTGTTATTATTTCGAAAATATGCAGGTTTCCTCACGATGTTTTCCTTCACCGTGATAAGTCAGCACTTAAAGTTAAAAACTTCATTGGTGCCGGCACTGGGGATCGAACTCATGTTCCTCGAGTATATTGAATTAAAGGCGAGCGCCCGGACACTGAGCTATCACGGCTCTTGAAAATGAAGAAGCCTTTACTTAAGTTAAATTTATATGATTAAGAAAGGAATTTTAGGGCGTTTCATCAAACCTAACAACTTAAGTTCATATTAAGACCGATACCTAACTACATATAGGTTAACTGGGAGATAATGCTGATGGCATTAAGTCCGCCTTTGTACATACATGTTTGTGCATAAAGAATAAATAAATATTACCTTTTAATATTTAACTCAGATCCTGTTTTTATTTAAATTAAAGTCCCTACTTCATTTTATAACCTCAGTCCAAGCTTTTTTTTTCCGTGCACATAATTTGCTAAAACGAATTTCTTTACAACTCCAAGGAACCCGAATCAAAGCGATCTCGTAGACTGGAGGTATCAAAACATTTTCCATTAGGAAACTAATTCCCCTTTCGACGCCCGCCGCCGCTTTAGGAGCGAATCACTTTTCCTTTATGTTATATACGTATACATAAACTTGTCTTACCGCATTGCTGCGGTCAAAGCCCGATACAGCTCATTCGAGTCTTTAACTACAGTTCAGTTGTGGTTAGCGCGGCGAACGCTTTCGATTTCTAAAGGCGGCCAACCTATTTTACTTAAAACCCCAATTCTGAAACTACGCCTTTGTTACGATTTCATTCAGTAAAATCGTAATGTATATGTTACTGCATACTTATTCACACTATCGATCTGCACAAAATCGAAGAGCGTAGATTTGTGTCTTATGGTTTTTACATATATGAAATGTATATTACCTACATCTAGTCCTAGGTTCGGATTTTATCTATTTCACACACAATACATCACTTCTTATGTCGCGTTAATAAGTTTTCCTATCCCACAGGTTTTACGAATTAGCAAAAACGTCGTAACGAGACGAGAAACTAGGCCTTAAAACTGATAATGAAGGTTATAAAACCGTTCACAGGTCTCAGGAAAGTGTACCCCTACTATTTCACTTTCACCACATTCACCAAAGGCAGATGGGTCGGGGAGAAGATCTTGGACGTGTTCGCCAGGGAGTTCAGGGCCCATCCGGCGGCGGAGTATGAGAGATGCATCAGGGCCGGGACGCTCACCGTTAACTACGAAAGAGTCGACCCCGACTACAGGCTTAAACACAACGATTTACTCGCTAACGTTGTTCACAGGTAAAGCTTTGGTTCGTCCGACACCGCCCCGTTACACGTTTATAATAGTTCTTATTATATTCCATACAGTATTTTCTCTAGTATAATTGAATATTTTATTATTTACACAAAACTGGGAAGCTACTCTTCTAATTGTTAATTATCTGTGAAGTATGAATACACAATATGAAAGACTACTACCGGAAACCTTGTGTATAATATTAACTCTTCTCTCTTATCTGTTACTCATTTTCTGTACATGTATACTAAAGCTCTTTAAATACCCACCTACATGTATGTGTATGGAAGACTGGTGTAGTACATATAGATGTCACGTTATTTCAAACAAAATTAACGTCCATTATCTTCCGTAGACATAATATCAAGTTGGATAGATAAGCCTCAATGCAGCGATCGCAGAGTCTAAGCTTGATTGTACATACAGGCCTCCTTAGATTGGCTAATTGGTAAAGAATCTTTGGCACCGGATGAGCATGCGAGTGCACTATTATACGAATAAACTTGGTACAAGTAAATTAGTTTCAATTATCTCGTACATTATACACAGTGCTTCGCGGTGGCTCTAGATTTTCAACGGCCTTTTACTGTTCACGTCTATGGATTTATTTCTCACGTCAGTACCTTCGTTCGGTATTACATCCGCTCACGCATGTTCATTTGTTGTTGTTTTTTGTTCTCGTCTTATCTGTATATCATACGGCACGAGAACCAATTTATGGTACGACGGACCCTGAGCAATTTACTGACAACACTTCTTATTTACACGCCCTTACAACACTATATCTCAACGGCTTTAAGCCGTGATTCCCTATTTACACCGATTACTAGCTCTATCCACTTAACACTGAACAAATATCAAACTCTACACTAATCTAATCCAAGCCAGTGTGAACCGATTCGATTCTTCGCTATTAACTTTCCTCTTGTCCGTTTTTCTTCGAAGACTATTTTAACGTTTCACTGACAGATATACGCATTAAAGCGTCGCTTTATACTTTGCTTAACAGTTCTCCGTACCTGATGGATGAGAATTACCAAACCGATTAACATTCGTAGATAATTCACGACAGAATTTGCTCAGCGTCCGAGGCACTATTGGGCTAGAAGCCTGACGTGTGTATCGTTGCAGGCACGAAGTACCGGTCACCAGCCAACCGATCACCCTCGTACATATCGACGAGGAAATTGTGGTTGTCAACAAACCAGCCTCTATCCCCGTAAGTGGCAAATGAGACAGCCATGTTATGTGTAACGCTTCATCTCTTGCTCTGTATCCCTTTATACCCTTTTGTACGTGGTGCATGTCGTCTGTTAACTTATCAGGTAAAGTAGTTGCATTTGTGCTCGTTACTGTCACTAACTTCTAGACCCGTAACTTATATATGTCGTAACACACGCATTGATCATCTATCCATACTAATGGGTACACGATTTTATCTGTCAAGACTACACACTTTCATGTATTCGAGTTTAAATGCAAGTAAGTATTTGTGGAATGAAAGGAACATCTATATTTTAGACTTTTAATTTTATTTTTTTATTTTCGCTTTAAATTTTTTAGAGGTGTTTATTTAAAAGCTGAAATGATAAAAAGTTTTATAAAAATAAATATAATATATGACATAATTAAAAATAATCTCATATTCATCAAACATTTTACAATCACTTACAAAGGCAAAAAAAGGTGTGATGGGAAAAATATTTAATTCTTTAACAATACCTGAATTCCAAAGAACTTAATATATTATATCAAAACTACAGTATATTACGACTAAGCTCTGAGATATAGTATGTTATTTTATGTACTATATTTCAAAGTCAAATAAATAATGTATAATAGTAACAAATGAAATATTTCTGAAACTAAAATACAAGTTTAAACCGTAAAACCTATTCAGTAAGTCTTGTTTTGTTATCCGAACTAGGGTGACAAGATAAAATTTGTAACCAGTGTCACTTAAAAAATAAACACTTTTCTCACACACGCGGTGCATGCAAAGCGTATTCGGAATTAACATTCGTCATGTCGGAAGAGTTTGTGCTGTAAAACCTTTTTAATGCATAGCCTCTCTGGCAAGAAATATTTAGACGTTTCCTACGTTGAAAGGCCTCTCATGTCGAAAGGCGTCCTTATTCAAGTTGGCTTTTGCTTCTTAGACATCGGCCTGGTGGCGCCTTGAGAGACATTAATAAATTAAGCCGTGTGCTGATGAGACTCAGCGTACGTTCCTTCTCTCGAGTAATCTTTTACAGACATCTGTTTGAGAGAAGTTTCTAGAATTATCAGTTAGCGAAAAGACCTCTCAATTACATAAAACGTTGGACGAACTAGACTGATTGCAAATTCGTCTTTCAATTAATAATGTTAAACGAATTCGAGTTGATGACTCCGTGGCGCAGTTGCCAAGGTATTGGCTTCGGCGTCGGGGGTTGTGGGTTCGATTACCACACGGGACAACTATTTGTGTGACCCACAGATAATTGTTTCGAATCTGGGTGTTTTTCCGCGTGAAATTTGTGTTTGTAAAACGTCCTTACAACACAGGATAATGTTATCCTAAAGTAAGGGCAATGTTTCTTTAATAAAAAAAAAGTCAGAACCCTCTATCTAACCTTATTTAATTGTATGCCTTAAATATATAATGCCAAAATTCTTGATTAAAGGCCATACCTAGTAATGCGTTGCTCCAGCTGTGAACATCCGATGTCTTATTTAAAAACGCATATATTCAAATCTGAGTATCCTTTTATAATAAATCTGTGATAAAAAAGTCTGAAATTTAATAGTAACGTTAAATAATAATGTAAAATTAAAAGCACTAATAACACTAAAAACAAGTGAAGAAGAATTTATTACTTGCACAATAAATACAAGCCTGTAATAAAATAAGATCTAACATGAAAACTTAACAAAAATTGGACCCACTTCGAACACTCATTGTACTCTGTACTTGCAATAGTTTAATTACTTAAGACACTTTAATAATTCTGTACCTCAGAGGTAAACAGCATTATGTGACAAAACATACATTTTACGGGAGAGGCAAAAATGCGTGAGTGAATCCTAGAATGCGTTACGATTATGATGTCATATACGATTGGATATTTTATTAATTAGGCGTAGGACTTAATGCTATATAATATTGTGAATATTTTATTCTGGCGATTGTAATGGAGAAGAAAAATAATTTTGAAAGCAGTTACTTTTGTATGCCTCTGAGGTAAAGAATTGAACACCTCATTCAGAATTTGAAATAGACCATCACCACGCTTATCACCCAAATTGATCCAAATTGCAAATGCTAAGATACCAACGACATGTCATTAGTTTCAAAGCACCTTACTAAGACTTCTTCATGAACAGGAACAAAGAAAATCAGGAAAGGCACAACTTGGAGGAAGTTAGGCAATCCGTAGATTAGTTCTTTAACGAGAAGGTATACCTTGGGGCCTGTGTCCATATCAACGAACTTTGTGCTCTGTTAAAAAAATTGTAACAAAAACTAAATTCATCGTTATGATGTACGATTTTGTAAAATATTCCAAAGATCAATCGAAATGTTCCCTTTTCATCTTTTTCGCTTTAGAAAATTATAGTTTTAATTTTGTAGCAAAGGCCAAGTGACTGACCGTGTCCGATTAATTTGATTGATGCAACGCCTCAACGGGAGGCCCCGCACGAGTGATATATTATGGCAATTTGTATTAAAAGAATCGACCCCATTTCGATTTGGAAGCGAATTATAAATTTTGCGCGTGTTTGTGTTGCATGCCGTGCAGTCATCAAGAGAACATACTCGCAATTCAATGTTCTATTTACTTATTTACAGACACATATCCGATATAAAGATAAAAATGTACGTCTGTTGTAAACACAACTTCCAAGCACGGATTGGAACTTGACTTTTGAGCAAATCTTTTAAAATAAGCCTGCATTCGAAAGAAATCCACAACGCATTTCATGTGCATAAATAAACACTACATGTACACTATATACATATAATATGTACACAGTTGATAGACAAATGCTGTGCGTTGTACGTAGTTTATAGAATTTCTATGGTGTTGTAATGCATTTGTGTAGTAATAAAAATATGTTTTATTCTGCGGATTCATTAAATGAGCACCCTTAGAAGTATATTAACACGTTAAAACTCAATTTTTTTTGTTGTTTTAATATAGATAAAGAAATCGGTATAAATGTGGTTAACATTTCGTCGTGTGAGACATGTATTTTTATGTTTCTCTTTCTATGTTCGCCGATGCACAATTCTTATAGAGAATCGTTTCTAGTTTAACGATCACATTACAACTGTGGTTTAATTTCATGTCATTTACCTCGCTCAATATAAAAGAAAAAACATTCGAAAGCTTACTAAAAATTTTGCGAACTGTCGTAAATACTCCGACACCACGCTGTATCTAAGCAAGCAGTTCTCAGTTACACAAGCTGCGTTCCAGTTCCAACTTGCACTACTGAGTTTTGCTTAGGACCCAAATGAAAACGATCACATCCGAGCGTCTCTGCCCAGAAAAGGGGTAAAGTTACACTACCAAAAGCAGATGCAACATCATAGGGCCTGTGACGTGTCCTTAATGAAATATTCTGTCCGTGGTGGGCCAGGCATGAGACTCCAGTGCTCGCTAGTCCCTTGCGCATCATACACGTGGATGAGGAGCTACTCGTGCTAGACAAGCCTTGCTCGCTGCCGGTGAGTCATCGCGTGAACACCGTAGACATCTCCGTCAGGCCCTGGTCTTCTTTCACACATTATCAAGATAATTGGTTCAAGGGACGTAGAATAACTCATGAGATGAATGAAATCATAACAAAGATCATTGTTCCTAGCAATTATAATCTGATAAGACATTTAAATTTATTCCCAGATTAGGAAAAAAATATGTTTTATTATAGCCTATTTCATTGTTTATTCTTACGTATAATCCAATTCAGGAAGTGCACAAACAAAAGTTGATAATTTTTTGATAGTAAAATCTACCGCTAACAGTGAAGTGGTTTTCACTGGTATGAAGTCTATAAAAGTCCCTCGCCAGGGTCTGACGTGAGATTGTGATCTGCGCAAAAGTTCGGGCCAGTGAAAGCTCCAAACGGAACTGAGACACAATTGCGGTCTAGTGAATCCCACTTGAAAGTGGGCTGTTATTGATAAGCTTGCGTTTCCCTATTTTGAAGTTTCTTAATCAGGTTTACCAACTTAGAAATGATCGTTATTCTCTCTTCAAATTATGTTTTTACAAAAAACCGCAAAAAGAAAAAACTGTTCTTAAACAGGTATTTTACTGATTTTTAATTGGCTGCCAATTTGGTTTTAATCTTAAATAGGAATAGTTGAAGGGAGAATTAATTCTGTGTCTAATTAATTTAGCTACAGTTCTATAAAAGACCGTGCATTATTCTTGAGAACTTACCTAACATTTATTCTTGCATCGCATGTCGAGAATCTTTCGTATGACGGCACTATCCCTTAAAAGCACCAAACTTTCCTAGAGTTGAATTCGATTCCCTAACAGAGCACCAACCACCGGCTTGTTGTTTTATCAAGATTTGAATAGAAATGTTTTATTTTGCTCATAATCATTATGCTGTTGGTTTTCTGGTGTTTAAGTGTTCTATTAATAATGCGTTACTTCATCATAAATGCATTCATCTTTCTCATGATGCTTAATTTACACAGCCTAATAGCATAGCATTCTAATATTTAAATTGATATTATAAAATATGGGATAAATAAAAAAGAATAAATAAACTTTGCTTCCTTCATTGACATAGTTCTACAAAAATCAATTTAATAAATGTGTTAGTACCATTAACTTGTTTGGATGCCGATGGGCCAAGATCATCAATGAACTCAACATTAATTCAAACCGATTCACCAGGTTCACCCATGTGGAAGGTACAGGCACAACACTGTCGTTTTTATACTTGCCAAGGAGTACAACTTGAAGAATCTGAGGACTATACATCGATTGGATAGGCTAACGTCAGGTGAGATTTTAAGTACTTTAAGTCATTGAAAACCTCTATTATTTTAATTAATTTTAAGTTGTGCTAACAATCAACGTTTGTAATCAATGACTTTGGACTAAATTATCTTAATTAAAGTTTAACATCAAACATTTAGAATTATCCTTCGATTAAAATTAAATTTAACAAAAAATCTATCAAACAGGCCTCTTGCTGTTCGGGCGAAGTCCAAAAAAGGCAAGACAGATGGAGCACCAGATTAGAAACCGACAAGTGCAGAAGGAATATGTTTGCAGAGTCGACGGCGAGTTCCCGGAGTGAGTCATTGTACTTTTGTAAACGGTATCTTACTGATAATAACGAAGTTGATATTAGATACATGGGTTGTTTTAATAATATTTCGATACTAAGATTGTTAATTCATACAGTGACTTAACGGGAAGGTTTTTTTTTTTTAAATAATATAATTTTGTCTTTTAAATCGCAGTGAGGAAATAGAATGTCAAGAACCGATTGAGGTTGTGAGCTACAAGATTGGAGTGTGTAAGGTGTCGCCGAAGGGAAAAGATTGCTCCACTGTATTCAAACGATTGGGATTCAATGCCACTAACAATACGAGTGTGGTGCTTTGTCGACCGAAGACTGGACGCATGCACCAAATACGGGTTCATCTACAATACTTAGGTGAAATATATCATTCATACCATTTTTTTATAATCGATCTAATTTGAAAGGACGAAGTTTCATATAAATAACAATAATGTATTTTAAATGCCTGTAATGTAACCTCTTACGTTTATTAACCGTAAATGTGGGCATTACTGTTGAATCGCTTTCAAATTACTGTTATATCATAACAAAAATAATTGTAAGCGAATAATCTATTCGGCTGCTTATTTCCTGTTTCAGTTCGGAATTTTTTTTTAAATTAAAATTATTCCTGCCTTGGAAAAAAGAATTGGTAAGGTTCTACATTCACATTCTTATGTCCCTGACACAGGTTACCCAGTCGTGAATGATCCGCTTTACAACCATCCAGTGTTTGGACCGCTCCGCGGGAAGGGTGGCGACACTGGCGGCAAGACCGACGAACAACTAGTGAGGGATCTGATAGCGATACACAACGCCGAAAACTGGCTGGGCGTTGACGCTGGTGACGACGATTTGCTGTTCTCGAAGCCAGTGGCTGATGACAAAGGTGCCGTGTCAATCGAACTTGGATCAAAATATATGCTTTCGTTATTTCTTCTATGAATGTTTGTACATTTCATTTCTTTTTATGAATGTGCTAATACATCTTTGCAGTAGGTGAAGACGATTGCGATACTGGTCCGACTTCAAGGGAGTCTTCTCCAAGGTTGGAGTCTCCTTCGCCTGGATTGACTCCATCTACAGTCATGACCCGTACGTCTCTATACAGCTCTATCGAAATCTCTTACATTAAAATAAAGTACCTGCAGGAATTAAAGTAAAGTACCGAGCTTTGCTCAGTTTTTTTTTTTTAGTAAATCATGTATTTTGGAAATAAAAAATATACAAAATAAAGAAAATATTCTAGTATAGAAAAAAAGTAAAAAAAATAAGTGTGTAAATGATCGTGATACGAACCGCGGCCGTCTGTTTTGAGGCCGCCCGATTACCGACCGAGGTATTATTAATTTTATTTGCGGCGAAATTTACTGTCATATTCGAATGATATTTTTCATTCCTTGAAAACAGGGATAAAAGGACATTTTCTAAAAATGAAACCTAGCTGGATCGATTTTTCGCCGCCGAATCTACGCACATACTAAATTTCATGAAAATCGATGGAGCCGTTTCCGAGATTCCGATTATATATATACAAGAATTGCTCGTGTAAAGGATAAGAGATATGTTCTTATAATTCTTTTTTGTCTAGCTACGCTACCTAGTCCATCAAGTGGCTCAGAAGCACCAATGGAAGCGACCGTAGTCTCACCTGCCCCACCGTGCACTATGGCGCCTTCTCCGGCCGCTTCGCCAACACCAAACGATGACTCTAACGACGCCAAGGTAAACCAGTCGTTACCATGGTAATCATTGGGCTCTATGCTGAAATCTAGTCTCCAAACGCCTACATATCTTTACCTTCCAAAATCACATATTCAGTATAATTTATCACTGACAATATCGCCAAATGTAATGGGTACGTTTCACAGATGTATATATTATTTTATTTCGAGTTTTACTTTCACTTCCCCGGATGAGCCTGCTCATTCGTGCAACACACTTAATAAGTTCGACATTAGTGTCGGCTACGTACAATCGAGTTGGATTTTTAAATGAAAACTCCGTCTTAAAACGCCTGATTTGGAGCGATACGCTGTCGTACACCTACTGTACTCGGTTACACAGTGCTAGTAAACAAAGCTCGTACAGTGTTCTATTACATCGATGTAGCCAGCTCTGACGCCACAGCTTGCATCGAATGGTTGCTCTCCCCTCTCAGTCGGACAAGGTGACGGTGGCGACGCAGACGGGGTGCGGGGCGGGGGTGCGGGCGCCGGGCGGCGGGGCGGGCGCGGGAGGGGGGGTGGCCGTGATCGCGGGGGCGGACGCCCTCGCCGCGGACCCCCACTGCTACGAGTGCCGCGTCCGCTACCGGGACCCGCGGCCTCGTGACCTCGTCATGTACCTGCACGCCTGGAAGTACAAGGTGGGTACTACAGAGCCCATGAAAGTTAATACCTCAACACTTTCTCCCTCTATCTCGCACTTGCTAATGCTGTATCCCAAAATAACCCTACGGACGTAATTAAGAATTTTTTTTTTAAGTTCAAATAGCAATAGCGACATCTCTCTTTAGAATTATCTCTGTGAAACGAAATGAAATTTGAAATCGTTTGTGTGATGTCCCGGTGATGAGGAGAGATTCGCCAAGCACTGATTAAAACGTGAAAAAACGATGTTGGTAAAATACGTAGAGATTTCGTCGGTGTGACCGGACGTTTATATAGTAAAGCGCATAAAGAAATTTTATGAAATAATTTCTGTAAAGTATTAAAGTCTAAGAAATTAATGCAATGAACGATCATGATAGATTTATTTTGAAATTGAATTAAATTTTTATCTTCTGCTCTATAGGGCCCCGGCTGGGAGTATGAAACGGAGCTGCCTCAGTGGGCGAGCGTGGATTGGCAGGAGCAGGAAAGCTCATAGTCAGGCAAATAAACATCGCTCCTAACACGCAAAGACAGAATGCACATCTCTACAGTATCACACCAGAATCTGTTTCAAGACCACGATAAAACTGCATCAAAGACATAACAACCCAAAGGTAGCATCTCTGTGCATCTAACAATGTCTGTAAAGAAGAATTCGCAAAGCCAGTATCTATTGTATAAGATTTTAATAGACCTAACCATGTCGGGGTCGAGGACGAAGCATGTCATGATATTTGCTACTATTGGTAATGTATAATGAAATGTAGTAAAATTGTTGTTGACTATCGTGATATCTATATATATATATATATCACGGAATTGTTAGAACATCGTGTCACCTTGAGGGAAAGACGTATACATTTGGCGATCGAGGAATTTTATAATTAAATTAAGACTTAAACTAAGGGTAGAAAACATTCTGCGTTGATCTTCTAGTACTCGATACAACGTGTCTTTATGTTTCCGAATCTTGTGTGTACTCCGTAGCGCTTGTCTTTTGCTAAGTGTTTAAATTTTAGAATTATTATTTCTTCAACCCTCAGTTCCTATCGGCCTAGAATGTTTTGTCAAGCTTTTTGTAGCGTAGTCATAAATGTATGTAGCCGTATATGATTAATGTGAGAATAATATGGGTACCGTTAAAATAGATGTATTGCTTAAACGAGGCAGGGTCTGAACGGCAAATGCAAAAGAATTTGTAAAGGTGCATTCGAAAACTTCTAAGTTATTCAGCAATGAGATAGCTCTTCTGAGATCAGATTTAGCAATTAACTTTACTTTGATAGCGAAATTTAATTTATAGTTAATCAATTACTTTGAAGTACTAGACAACTTCGCGCGTAAGTAATGCTCCTTCATTTATATTTTAGGCAATTAACTTAAAAAGTTTTTAACTCGCTTTGAGTTGCCTTAATTTGCAATTAGTTTAAAACTAATCTCACTCTATTTTTAGAATCTTAAAGAAATTAATTGGACCACTTTGAAAAGATATATATGGAAAAGCTATCTCTGTACTTTTAAAACGCATATAATTGCAATGAAACCATAGTAGATGAATACGTAATGATAAAGTTTTTAATGATCACATTTAAGGCGTTATTGCTACGCCGCAAATTTTGGCTTCCATAGATTTCTAGTAGGTTGTTGAAAAAGACGAGGTGTTTTATAGACTCTCAAGTTTTGTACCTACCGTATAAAAAGAGTATTTTGCTAATATGTAATTCGTAAATGGATTACTCTATGATCGTCATCACTTCATTTGTTTATCACTAAATTCAAAAGGTCATTCTCATCATTGTTAATTCGCTTCATTAAATTTTTTATTTTTATCGTTCTGGCTTATATTGTATGCATTTATGGTATCCACGTTTTATTTTCTTCTATCATGTTTAACGAGATCTTCATCTGTTTAAAAGACATCTGTTCCAAATTTGATATCTGATCTGTTTTATTCGTTCTCCTTAACAGGAATAGTAACCAAAGTAATTATGGAGTCACTTTCTCCAAAGACATGTTTTTTTTTATAACAAACTAGTGTATCGGTTGCACATCAGTCGGAGCAGCACATTTAAAGACATGGATAAGAATTTTGTTTGTTATTTCATATTTAATAAGTTTTGCGTGTTTTTCTTTTTTTTAGATTTTAAGTTTATCCGAAATGTTTATGTTTTTCGTTCTTTTGGACTGTTTTTGAAATTTCGCATAACAATTGACATTTCATGTGAAGCGTACACGTTTATAGCTCCAATTCATTATTATCTAACTTATGTAGTGATGAGTATTATGATAAAAGACAACTTCTTGCGACACTAATAATATTTTCACGAGCTTTTATAAAATTAGTTTTATAAAAAGTATATATTTTTCTTACTTATAGCGTTAGTGATAGATTGCAAGTTTTATCAGTTTTTGTAATATTTTTCAAATGTTTTTGCAATAGCAAACTACCCTGTGTTGATCTTGGGGTAAGCACGAGCTCGGTTTGTAGCGACGGCAAGAGCAAGCTTATTCACTCTAAAATATTTGTAGGTATGTTACAATAATAATGAAATACGTAGTTCACGTGCAAAGCTTGCTTTCAGTCTAGTTACTTTTGTACTTTGGTGTATCTACTTTAAATTAAATGCTTCAGTGTTTATGTGTCATTAGATTTCAAATATTCTTTAAAAAAAAGAAGAAAAAAAATGTAATAATTAACTATCTGTTTGGGAACAAGTTGTGTATTAAACATGGATAAGTAATCTGTGAAAAGATTGGATTGCTATTGCAAAAAAATAAAAAAATAAACACTTCGGGTAACACCGCTGTCTACTTTCTAGATTCAAAATTGAAAGGGAACTTTTTCGATGAAATTTTGTATAATAAATGTAGTGTGTACAAATTAAGGTTTTATCTGTGGCATATCACCTAAGAATCGCGGCATCCCTGCGCGAAGCTTGTCTGACTTGATGATTCGAGACTCGCACTGTCAAATGAGTTTCCATCGAATATTGTTGTATTTTTATATAGTATTTAAGGACATGTTTATATTTATGTTATGTATGTATGTTACATATTGGTATTGTAGTAGCGAGCCGTTAACACTAACCTTATTAGATTAATCGTTATCGATGGTTAGAGGAGTACAGTCAGCGACAAACATCTGTGTACTGTTAATTTTTTTTTAAGTACAGTCGCGTTCGTCGGTGTTTATTTCATTCTGCTTCTAACACGACGACCTTATCGCCGTGGAATCGGTATCTTGAATTTATTTCTAAGAAATTTTCATGTGCCTTCTCAAAATAATGAAAAAAAAAACCTAAAGATATATACCTAAATTGTAAAAGTATGTTTTCATTACGGTTATTTGTAATTGTTACACGATTCTAAAATAAGTAGGGTTACACTTGGCACTCGGAGTTAGACGAAGCGAATGCGTGATCAAGGGAAAGACGATGAAATTACAACTTGAAATTACTACAAATTGAACCATAGCCATTCCTTTCGGTCGATGTGAATGTTGTTTTGTATTGTGTCCCCTTTCACGCGTACGCATAAACAGGCACAAATCACGGGACTTTCATATGATTTTCCTAAAAAAAACGTTGTTTAAATTCTGTTCCTTTTAGACATGCTGTGTCATATAAACAATCGGTTGTTTTGTTTCATAATATACATTACGAGTATAATTTTTTGGACACAACATGAAAGACATTTTGTTATTTTGTATAAGTATTTCCTAATTAAGAATATAATAGTGTTTTCTTCTTTAGATTCGTGTTATAATAATTCATGTTTCCACGTAAGTTTAATTAGAATAAAAATCATCATTGAAATGCAGTCTATTATTTATTTTGTCCCTCTCTAACCTAAGCTCGGAAGTGAAGAATGTAACTGGATCGTTAAAAAGGCGTGTTATTAAGTCTTCTCATATGAATCAATGATATAAAATAGAACAAAATACGCTACAAGGCAGCAATATTGATGAATCCGTGGCGCAGTTGCCAAGGTATAGGCTTCAAGCGACGGAGGTCGTGGGTTCGATTCCCACCCGGTACAACTATTTGTGGGACCCACAGATAGTTGTTTCGCATCAGGGTGTTTTTCCATGTTTGTAAAACGTCCTTACAACACTGTATATTGTAACCCTAAAGTACGGGCAATGTTTTTTTTTTAAAAGAAAAAGAAAACTGTAATTAACACGTTGTTTTATATAGGGTGTAGCAGATATCCATGGGCGGCGGTATTCACTTAACATCAGGTGAACCGTCTGCTCGCTTGGCAACATTTCACATAAAACAAATAAAACAACAAGTTCGAGTCGAATTCGCGCACGAAAGTTTCCGTACCAGATGTGCAGTATTCGCTTAGGCGGAGGAAATCATTCAGGGTCTAAATTCGACGCGTCTTCGAGGCGCCATTTTGAAGTGAAACACGCTGCCGAGCTTCGGAGTTGTCGAATAGCGAAGAGTAGCACGCGTCCCGTTTCTCGTACGTTCGCTGACGCGCGCGCCTTTTTAGGGTTCCGCACCCAAAGGGTAAAACGGGACCCTATTACTAAGCATCCGCTGTCTGTCTGTCCGTCCGTCTGTCTCATGGATCGTGATAGGTAGACGGTTGAAATTTTCACAGATGATGTAATTCTGTCGCCGCTATAACAACAAATGCTAAAAAAAAAAAAAAAATTAAATTATCATAGTGGTAATCGTGGAATTGATTTCCACGGGATATATAATATGTAAAAAATCCGGATTATACAAAAGACATGGTTTTGTTGCCGTTTCTATGGATAATGAATGGTACGAAATCCTAAAAGGCGCGAGTGCGGCTCGCACCTTGTCGGTTTTTTTTAAGTTCGACCTTTGCGATGAAATGTCAGCGATTCGGTTGGGCGGCCATGCGTTTCGCCCGACCGGGCCGATGGGGAGGAAGTTCCGCCAATTTCGCGCTCCTACGTATGAGAACAGATAATTTTTTTTTTTTTGGAGTGCGGATAACATTACAAGATAAGAAACGCGACTTTATATTTGTCCGATATAGTCTTAGATATGTATCTGATATACGAATAAGGTTATCATATTCATATTACGCTAAATCAGGCATCAGGGAACCACAATTTACATGTATTTTTAATATTATTATATTTGCAATTTAATGTTCTTGAAGTATTCCTAATTATTTATTATCATACAACAATTTATTGCACTATTAATTAATGTACGTAATATTGAGCACTTACGAAATTACACATTAGCTTACAAACTTAGGCTCCGCGGCATGGTGCAAGAACACTAGCTGCATATCTTTGCTAGATAGAACTTATGGTTTGGGGAAAGAACCGATCCTCTTATAACCAGCCATAAGAAACCGGTTGGAATCCCGCACCGCTGCAAGATTTTGTTCATTTATCTACAAAATTTTACAATTTAAAGTTTCATATTGACTGCAGAGACTAGCACTAAAAACAAAAATTAATCCAAAAATTAATTTATTTTATAAATTTAATTATTAGTA